TCATCTCTTCCTTATGACCCTTCTGTAAGGGGATGTCCAAATGCCTACAGATGGGCTTTGGGTCTCCACTCCGTCCTCTCCCTCATTCACATAGATATGATTTTTTTTTTTCCCCTTTAATCTTTGATGCCTGATACCTCATGATCACACAGGCTGGTGTGCTCTTTTCTGTGGGCTTTATTGCTTCTCAGCTAGATGGCTGCTTGTTTATCTTCAAGTCTTTAAGATCTCAGGTGCTATATCTTCTAATAACTGGGCACCATCAGCTTTCTTCTCTTTTGCTTATGCATCAATTTTATCTTCAGCTGTCATGTCGGGAAGGTGAGCATCACAGAACTGCATAGTATTTTGCCAACATGTGTGGGTGCTTCCAAAATTTGTGAGGAAATTCCATTTCTTAATTCTGTTGTATGGTGAGGGTTAACATCATTTGAGTTTTGTTACTTTTTTTGGTTTTAATTTCTGTAATCTACTCAAAATGCAAAATAAAAATATGGGTACAGGGATAACTACGTTTTTATTTTAATAGAAAAGAACTGGAATCAACTTTATTTTCAGTGATGGAAATATAGTTAAGTAAATTAACATGACATTGTGAAATTAAAAATACGGTTATGAAGTCTGAAACAACATTAGTGAAATGTTTCTAATAAACTAAAGTAGGCCGAGTACAAAGTTAAATCAACCTCACTTTTTTAGCTTATCTATGTATAACGAATGTGAAGAATGGCATGTAAACCTCTCACTCCCTGCCATCCAGTCAGTGCTGACTCCTAGTGACCCTACAGGACAGGGTAGAACTGCCCTGAGGGCCTCTGAGACTGACACTCCCTCCGGGAGTAGAAAGGCTTGTCAGTGTCCCAGGGAGCAACTGGTGCTTTCAAACTGCTGAGCTTGAGGTTAGCGGCCCGACGCACAACCACTACGCCACCGGGGCCCCGCAATTTCTCTTTTTAAAAAGAAGATTCCAGTAAAAACATTGAAAGAAGATACATGAGGACGTTTCATGGGAAAATTCTGTCATCTTTTAATTCCTTTTCCACAGCTTTTTGAGGCCCTTATGCCTTCGATATCAAACACAGTGAGATACGCTGTCCATATTCCCTTCTCTTCTTTCAAATTTTCTATTTGTAAAGTTTTAAAAAAGTTTTTAAGGTTCTAAAGGTTAAAAATGTTAAACAGGTCTTATGAAGTGTTAAACTTATCAAAAGAAGTGGAAGGGAATACACAGTGTCACTGACCCACAAAGAATTCGTTAATGTTTAACCATTCAGTAGGTAGCATATGCTTGAGGACTAGTGCTGAAGGAAGAAGTCCAAGCTGCACTGAAGGGGTTAACCAAAAGCAAGGCTCCAAGAATTGACAGATACCTATTGGAATTTTTAAACAATCTGACAAAGCACTGGAAACAGTCATTGGTCTATGTCAAAACATTTGAACGACAGTTACCTGGCTAGAAGACACCCATATTTATGCCCATTCCGAAGTAGGGTGATCCAAGAGAATCTGAAAATTATAAAACAATGAAATATCACATGCAAAGAACCTTTTGTTGGGATTATTCAAAAACCGTTTTAATCGTACATTAACTGGGAGCCACCAGAAACTCAAACTTGATGGATCTTACCCGAAAGCAGAGAATACGTGAAAGGTTTTGTGTATTATTGACTCTGCACAGCATTCAAGTGGAGACCATCAAAAAACGATGACCAGCACTGAGAAGAGCAGGAATCCCAGAACACTCATTGTGCTCATGTGGACCCTCTGCGTGGCCCCAGAGCAGTCATTTTAACAGAATCTGATACTGCGTGACTCACAATCAGGAAGCGTGTCCTTTCACTGTAGTTACTCAGTCTGTGTGCTGAGTGGAGAATATGAGAAGCTGGACGATATAAAGCGGTAGGTGGCATCAGGATGGGAGGAAGCCTTATTAACAACTTACTGTATGCAGATGACACCTTTGCTTGCTGAAAGTGAGGAGGGCTCGGAGCACTATTGAAGATCAAAAACGGTCTTTGGTATGGATTACAAAACTATATTTAAACATCCTCACCAATAGATAACAGCATGATAAGTGGAGAAAAGATTGGTGTTAAGGATTTTATTTTGCTAGGATCCATAATCTATGCTTATGGTAGTTGCAGCCAAGAAATCAAAGGACATACTGCATCAGGCAAATCTGCTCCCCAAGACTTTAAAGTGACGAGGAACAAAGATGTCACTTTAAGGTCTAAGGTGCATGTGGGGAAGTGAAATCTCTCACTATGGCTCTTACTGTCCAGGTCTCTATTATAACTCCCACCAGATGATTAGTTGTACAAATAGTACAGTTGGTTAGTGTATGAAACACTAATGGAGGGGATTTGTCGGTTTTGACCTTGCTTGACTATAAGAATGAGGCATCTGAGAAGCAAGAACAGTGAAGATCCCCTTGACTTGAGGGAAAAAGAGCCACCAGCGAAACACATTGGACCTTCCTGCCTGAAGTGGTGGAGGCAGCACAAGCCATGCCACTCTGAGACTAGGTTGAGGAGACCATGAGACAGAGCAGAGGAGCAGTGTGCAGCCTGTGAGGTAGAGCAATAGGCAGGCCCCAGGGTGCACGGGGGCAGAGGGTCTAAGAGACTGAAATCAGAGATTTCAGTGATGAGGAGAGAGGTTGCTGTGGACCATTGGCTGTGTCCTTAATGTTTTCTAATCCTGGATGGTGGTATTATTCTGTTACCTTCCCTAATAAAACCTCATAATTGTGAGTATTGTCTATGCATTCTATATAGTCATTGTAACAAATTTATCAGACCCAACAAGAGAAGTAATTGTGTTGAGGGAGAAATGGTTAGAATCAGAATAGGTAAAAGAAGGATGGAAAGTGGTGACTTGTCTGACCTCTGCCTGTGGCATTTGTTTTGGGTTTGTGTGGAGATAGTCTGCTACCTTGTGTAGCCAGAGGTTGCATATGGCCTCCACACCATTTACTCTGTGCACCTGACCTAAGCTGTAGTATTTTCAGCCACTTCAAGTGCATGTGGCAGTTGTACATCGAGTAAGACTGAAGAAGCGTTGGTGCATTTGGATTAGAGTTGGGAAAGAATATTGAAAGTGCAGTGGAATGCCAGAACAAGTAGCACATCTGTCTTGGAAGAAATGCAGCCAGAATGCTTCTTAGACGTAAAGCTGGCAAGACTTGTTATCAGGAGACACCAGTCCCTAGAAAAGGGCGTCATACTTGCAGAGTATCAGCATCAGAGCGGAAGGGCCTCAGTGAGAGAGATTGACACATGGCTGCTACAGTGGCCTCAAACGTAACCGTTGTGGAGATAACACAGAATCGGGTAGGGTTTTGTTCTGTTGTTATGTGGTGACACAGTTAAAACCAATTTGATGCCACCTTACAACAGTAACAATTTGTATGGTGAGTAAAGAACTGTGAGAGTCATGTCTGCCCTCTGCCTGCGGAAGAGGGAAGGAGAATTTACCTCCACATCTTTCTAAGGATGATTCCTATTGTTTACCCTTTTCTGACACTAAAATATCCCTTTCATAGCAGTATATTTCTGTCCTGGAATCAGTAATCTATTGTGGCCATCCGGAACAGTTCTCAGCAATTACACAGTTCATTAGGGAAATTACCAGGTTACTGCAAGTAAGGGTCTGAAAACAAAGATACAGTTTTTTGGTCGGCAGTACCTCTTCTCAGTCATGCAGACAAAGCACATCCCTTTCTGTTCCTCACCCTCTGAATCATGCAGCTCTTTGGCCTCTGCCCTGTGTTGGACAGATGTGAACACAGTTCCTTTAGCACAGGTAAATGCCTAAAGGACATCCTACTCTATAAGCGGGTCTCCTGCATCACGACTCCCAGCTTTACCTGTTCTGTGGCCTGGGCTGTTTAAACTCCTGGTCTTGGTGCTATCGTGCAAGGTGCCTCTGCTGCAGCTGCCACTTCCAGTCAGGTAGAGCTCTCTGCTGGTCTTTTTCTTGATGGTTGTGGAATTCTTTGTTCCCGCTTCTGAGATGGTTCACTTTGTATCCTGTGCAGTAGGGCAATCTGACCAATCCCTGAATTTGGAGTCTTCTACACCTTAATTGCATGTTCCTCCCCAGTTATTCACCAGGTGGGAGATAAAACGGTTATGGATAGGAGAGTCATACGGAATACTTTTACTTCACTGTGGTGGCTCACAGAGCTGGTCATATTTGGAATATTTTCAATGTTGGTGGGCAAAGAAGGACAGACTTGTGTATAAATAATTGTTAAAAACGACGATTGTTAAATAATGGCAACATATGTACAAATATGATAAAATTGATGTATGGGTGGTAATAAGGGCTGTAAGAGCCCCCAATCAAATGGTCTTTCAATAAACTAAAACAAAACAAAGGAAAAACATTGTTTTGGAAATCAAGATAACTTATTTTTATGCTGCAGCATTTTTTAATATAAGGTTTTGTCTTTTAACATGTAACTTTTAATATTTCTTATGTCTTTTTCAGGCACTATTCTCAAAAGCCAAAATATGATTCGGATGCCAGTGGTCATCCGTCTTTTGCGACATCCCCAGCATCAGACAACATCGAAAGAGACGCACTTCCTCGTTATGAACCAATTCCATTCAGTGCTTCCATGAATGAATCTACTCCCACTGGTATTACTGATCATGTTGCCCAAGGTAGAAACTTCTCTTGAAATGAATTTCAGCATTTTATGGTCCAACGTATGTATAAACTTTATTTGATGAACTTTTCTTCTGGATTTCACCTGTATGTTTCACATCAGCCTAAACCCAACATACTTGTTTGTTCATTTGCTCATTCATTTTGTTTGTTTCTTCCTTCAACATTTCTCGAGGACTGGTAGGTGTCAGGTATTCTGCTAGCTATGGCAGAATAAGTTCTGGCTCTTGTCTCAGGGACTAACACAGTCTGAGGATCGCACAATGTACGTGAAAGAACAGAGCCTTTGGGTTTAGGTCTGGATTTGAATCACGATTGACACTTGCTAGCTGTGACCTTGGACAAATAACCAATTTGAGATCTCAGTTTTTTGCTCCCCAAGATGGAAATGATGTTTCTTTTAAAGAACTATTAAAAGTACATGAAATAATCCATTGCAATGCCTAGAAGGTAGTAAGGTTTCAACAAAAGTCAGTCTTTCCTTCAAATTGATTTACAGTGTAAGGTTGTGGAATTAAATAGGAAGCACAGACCCAAAATTCGTTGCCGACAATCCTAAAATCTAAAATAATTTAGAAAATTCTACCCTTTCAAAAACTGTATATATTTTAAAATTTTATTTAAAAAACTGAATGAGGGTTGAGGGGAGGAGACATTCCAGTCGGTGCAGTATAGCACCGTTGAAACATACAGCCTGCTCC